TCGAAGTGGGGTGGGAGGAGCTCGAGGTGGAGCTCGGGGTTGAAGTTGGGGCTGGGGGAGTCCGGGCAGGGAACGAGGGGCTCCGATCCGTGGCCGCGGTGGTGTCGGACTGGCGGGGTCTGGGTGGGGCTGGCAGGGCTCGAAATGCGGCGGGAGGGGTTGAAAAAGGGGCTGAGGGGTCACAGATTTGGCCTCGGGGGGGCTCCGGTCCGTGCTCGGTGTGGTCTCGGAGCGGGAGCGGGGCTTGAGAACCGGGGCCTGGCGGCTCCGTGGGGCGGATCCCGGGCTGGGCTGGCCCCGGAGCGACCCCGGCACCGAGGGAAGGCTGGAACTGGAGAGGGAATTGATGGACAGAGAGGGGGATTGGGGGAATCCAGGAGATTCCTGGATCACATGGGAGGGTGGGCTGGGGAATGCTGAGGGAGCTGGGAGTGTTCATCCCAGAGAGAAGGAGGAATTTTTGGGGTTTTGCTCTGCTGTCAGAAAACAGGGACAGGAGGAGAGGGAGATTTTGGGAATATTTCTTCATGGAAATGTCCAAGTTTCAGCCTGGATCCAGCTGGGATAGTGGAGGATCCATGGAATGGGATCATCCTTAAGGTCCTTCCCAACCCAAACCATTGGAATTCTCTGTTCCATTGGGGTGGGGAGGAGGAAAATCCTGGGAAAAAGGAAGAGGAAGGGATGGAAGTTCTTGGCAGGAGGGAGGAATTCCAGCTTGGAGTGAGGAAACAGAGGTGAGGCTTGGGAATGAAGGAATGAGGTCAGGCCTGGATACTTCACAGCTTGGAGAATCCTGAATTTAGAGTTTGTGGATTTATTAATCCTGGAATTGAGTCTTAATTAAAAAAGAGGCAGAGTGACTGGATGGGATTTATAAACTCATTTATTGAGTGTGGCTCCCAGGAGTTTTAAGCTCAGCATTTCCCAGATTTATTTCTGGGATTAAACCACCCTGTGGAATTCTCAGCCGTGCAGGAGGAGAGAAAATAAACAATAAAAAGTGCAGGAATGTTCTGGCCATCATTCCCAAAAAAACCCTGGGAATGAAGTGTTGATGGGGACATCACCCAGGGATGGTGCCAGCTCCTCCCCCTAATTAACTAATTAGTGATGCTCCTGGTTAATTGGGTGATCTCACCAAAGGTGAATCAGCTCCTTTTTATGGAAGCAGCCACTGGATGATGTTCAGGGAAAGGATTCCTGCAAAATCCCCGTGACACTGCTGGATGCCAAATCCTCATCTCCCTGCTGCTGATCCAGCCGTGCTGTGGATGGAATTCCAGGATTTTGGGGCAGATTTGGGCAAAAATCCAATTATTTCCTAAAAAAGAGTGTGGATAATGGAAGAGTTCAGATCTGCTCTGAGAATAAATGGTGAGGGAATGTTTTGGGAAGAAGCTGAAGGAATTTTTTGTGGAATCCCTCAGGTGTTTCCTGGATGAAGGATTGTGACATTCCCAAATTTCCAAACCTGTGACATTCCAAGTTTCCAAACCTATTCCTGACTTTAGAGAGAATTGAGAAGCAATTTGCTTTTTTTTTTTTTTTTTATTTTTCCACCAATCCCAACCTTTTCATGGATGTCAAATCCACATTTCCCTGTTATAAATCCCAGGGGTTCCTGTGGATGGAATTCCAGGATTTTGGGGCAGTTGTGGCCAAAAATTCGATTATTTCCTAAAAAAAGAGTGTTGATAATGGGAGAGTCCAAATGTGATCTGAGAGCAAATGGTGAGGGAACGTTTTGGGAAGAAATGGGATTTCTCATGGAATATTTGGGATAGTGGAAGGTTGTTGCCATGGCAGCTGGAACTGGATGATCCTTAAGATTCCTTCCCAAACCGTTCCCTGATTCTCATCCTGAAATCCAGGATAATTCTGCCTGTTGGTTTTCCAGGAATTCTGGCCATTTCATTTCTTCAGTGTTGGGGAAAAAATCCTTTTGTCTTTTAACTGGAAATTTAAATTTCTTCTCAGAGAGAGAAGAATTCTCCAGATCTGTTGCTGGTGAGAATACCATTATATTGGGAAAAAAAGGATTCCATTCCCAAATGCATTTTTCCTTGGGGAAAAAAAGAAATAAAAGGATTTAATTCCCAAACTGGATTGTTCCTTGGGGAAAAAAAAGAAAAGATTTATTTCCCAACTGGGTTTTTCTTGGGGAAAAAAAAAAGGATTTCACTCCCAACTGGATTTTATCTTGGAATAGAAAAAGGATTTAATTCCCAACTGGATTTTTCCTTGGGGAAAAAAAATAAAAGGATTTAATTCCCAAACTGGATTGTTCCTTGGGGAAAAAAAACCCAAAACCTAAAAAAACCCAAAACAAAACAAAAAAAAACCAACAACCAACCAAAAAAATTATTTCCCAACTGGGCTTTTCTTGGGAAAAAAAAAAAAAAAGGATTTCACTCCCTACTGGATTTTCTCTTGGAATAGAAAAAGGATTTAATTCCCAACTGGATTTTTCCTTGGAAAAGAAAAATAGGATTTAATTCCCAATTGGATTTTTCCCTGGAATAAAAAAGGATTTCATTCCCAACTGGATTTTTCCTTGGGGAAAAAAAATAAAAGGATTTAATTCCCAAACTGGATTGTTCCTTGGGGAAAAAAAATAAAAGGATTTAATTCCCAACTGGATTTTTCCTTGGAAAAGAAAAATAGGATTTAATTCCCAATTGGATTTTTCCCTGGAATAAAAAAGGATTTCATTCCCAACTGGGTTTTTCCTTGAAATAAAAAAGGATTTCATTCCCAACTGGATTTTTCCTTGAAATAAAAAAGGATTTCATTCCCAGCTGGATTTTTCCTTGGAAAATTTGCCCTCAGGCCCAGCAAGGAGCTGATTTTTTCCCTGGAATAAAAAAGGATTTCTTTCCCAACTGGGTTTTTCCTTGGGGAATAAAAAAAGAAAAATAAAAATATTTATTTCCCAATTGGGTTTTTCTTTGGGGAAAAAAAAAAAAAAAAGTATTTCATTCCCAACTGGATTTTTCCTTGAAATAAAAAAGGATTTCATTCCCAGCTGGATTTTTCCTTGGAAAATTTGCCCTCAGGCCCAGCAAGGAGCTGAGTAAAGCTGGGAGCTCCCAGGTGAGTCAGGGATCACAAGACCAGAGACAAATCCAGGTATAAAAACCTCGGGAAGTGACGGCTCTGCCTGTGCTGCCCTCCAGACCTTGGATCCATTCCTTATTCAATACAAATCCTGGATTTTTAAAGGAATTTTCATTTTGGGTACAGCCTCAGTTGAATTTTCCTTTGGAATTTTTTCCCAAATTTTCACGAAGGAAAAAATTCCTCCCTGAGAATTCCATGGATCCAAATCCAGGTAAGAAACTTGGGTCAAGGATCAAGAAGAGTTTATTTTAATTTATTATTGAATAGAAACCCATTATATTTTAAGGAATTTTCATTTTGGGAACAGCCTCAGTTGTATTTTCCTTTAGAATTTTTTTCCTTGGTGAAAACTTGGGAAAAAACCCTGAGGGAGAAAATTTCCTCCCTGAGGGGAAAAATTCCTCCCTGAGAATTCCATGGATCCAAATCCAGGTAAGAAACTTGGGTTAAGAATCAAGAAGAGCTTCTTTTAATTTATAATTAGGTATAAATCCTTGTTTTTTAAAGGAATTTTCATTGTGGGAACAGCCTCAGTTGAATTTTACCTTGAAATTTTTTCCTTGGTGGAAACTTCGGAGAAAAACCCTGAGGGAGAAAATTCCTCCCTGAGAATTCCATGGATAGAAATCCAAATAAGGAACTTGGGATAAGGCTCAGGAAGAATTTCTTTTAATTTATTAAATAGAAATCTTTGATTTTTTAATGAATTTTCATGTTGGGAACAACTTTTATTGTATTTTCCTTTCAAATTTTTTCCTTGCTGAAAACTGGATTGTAACCACTCCTTGAAATCAGATTTTCCTTGGATTTTGCTCCCTCTTTTCCCATAATTTTCTCTGGGGTTATGGATTTATTGGATCAAAAGAGGCAGAAAATTTTCACTTTAAATTCCATGTTTTTTGTCAGTTTAAGGCTGATTTTTTTTCCCATTTCATTTCTAAAATTAATTATGAAATAAGTTATTAAAAATCCATGGAAATAAGGGATGAAAAGTAAATAAAGGATTTTTTTGGGATATAGCATGGACTAATTGTTATCTTAAATATTGGAATTTTGAGTGTATTTAATTAAGAAAATAATTAAAATTATTTAATTTAAAATGATTTATTAAAAATAATTAAAAATCTCTGGAACTGGACTTTTTAAGGAATTAATGATGCAGCAGCCTGAAAATGCTGGGAGATCTCAGGGTGGGATCAGGAATTCAGCATTCCTGAAGAGAGAATTTTTTGTTTTCCTGATAATTCCTCAATTTTTTCTTGGAGAGATCGGATTGGGGTGGAATTAAGGAGGGTGATTAGCAGCAATCTCATTAATGGCACAGCAGAATTCCAGAGCTCCTGGAATTAATCTGTGATCCCATGGAATACCAAAACCTTGGAGAAGATGATGGATCATGGAGCAATGAAATCCCAGTGATGTCATCAACATTCCCAGATTAATTATGGGATGGAAGCAGGCCTCGGTGCTGGAAACCACAGCCATGAGGAAGATATTCCAGGAAAATTCCAACCCTTGGCTCCAAGAAACTTCTGGAAGGGTGGAGAGAAACCATTCCAGGGATGGAATTGCCCATTCTGAAGTTGGAATTGTTTGGACGGAAGGAATTCCCAGGGAATGCTGGGATTTCCTGGGGAATGCTGGGATTTCCTGGAGAATATTGACAAATCCCAGAGAATACTGGGATTTCCTGGGGAATACTGACAGTTCCTGGAGAATACTGGGAATTCGTGAGGAATACTGGGAATTCCCAGCGCATACTGGGAATTCCCTAGGGAATACTGGGAATTCCTGGAGCGTACTGGGAATTCTTGGGGAATACTGGGAATTCCTGGAGCCTACTGGGAATTCTTGGGGAATATTGACAATTCCTGAGGAATACTGGGATTTCCTGAGGAATACTGGGAATTTCTGGAGAATACTGGGATTTCCTGGGGAATATTGACAAATCCTCATGAATACGGGGATTTCCTGAAGAATACTGGGAATTTGCAGAGAATATTGGGATTTCCTGTAGAATATTGACAAATCCTGGAGAATATTGATAAATCCTGGGGAATACTGGGATTTCCTGGAGAATACTGGGATTTCCTGGGGAATATTGACAAATCCTGGGGAATACTGGGAATTTATGAGGAATATTGGCAGTTCCTGGAGAATATTGATAATTCCTGGGGAATTCCTGAAATGTGCTTAACGTGCCTGGATGTTGAGATGTCAGAGGGGAAGGGGAGTGAGCAGGGATTTATAAAGAGGGATGAGCTGGAATTTTGGGATATCCGGGATTTTCCTCAGTGCCTGTTGGTCTGTGGGAAGCTGAAATGTGCTGGGAATGGGAATATTCCAGGATATGAATGGAATTATTGAGTACATGGGGTGACCAGTGAAATTGATGGGCTTTTCCAGAGAAAATCTGAAATTTTGGGATATTGTGGATTTTCCTCAGTGCCTGTAGGTCTGTGGGAAGCCGAGATGAGAGGAATGGGAATATTCCAGGATATGGATGGAATTATTGGGTACATGGAGTGGCCAGTGATGTGGATGGGCTTTTCCAGAGAAAATCTGAAATTTTTGGATATCCTGGATTCTCCTCAGTGCCCGTTGATCTACGGGAAGCTGAGGATGAGCTGGGAATGGGAATATTCCTTAATATGAACGGAATTATTGAGCAAATGCATGATGATCTTTCCTAGAGCAAATATTCCTGTGGTTAGAAGTGCTTCCCAAATTCCTTGGATATCCAGCAGAAAAGAGCCAGGAGCCAGATCAATTCCTGTGTGTTTATTCAGGATTCCTGCTTTTTCCCCTTGGATTTTAGTGTCTCCTGCTGGGTTGGAGAGGATTTCCCTGGGAGAGGAGGCCAGGAAGAGCGAGCTGATGAACGAGGACATCCGGATCCATTCCTGGCCTTGCTCCTACTACCTGGACACCAGCAAACAATGGATCCCCGGGAAGCTCTCCCTGACTCCCCTTTCCATCAAATTCACGGCTGACAAAACGGGAGAGCTCCTGGTGGATTTCCATCTTTCCGGGATCAGCGAGATCAAGAAGGAATCTTCCCATTTAATCTTCAGCTCCCTCACCATCCTTGAGAAGAGCACCAAGCACTGGTTCAGCTCCCTGCATCCCAACAGGAATGTGGTGTTCAACATCCTGGAGCATTTCTGGAGGGAGCAGCTGGTGTCCAGCCAGGAGGCCGGAGCGGGGGCGGCCTTGGAATCTAGCAAGGGCAAGGAATTAACGGGAATGTTGGAGGGATCCCAGAAACGCCTGGAGGACACGGCCAAGGTGCTGCATTCCCAGGGGGAACAGTTTGACAACATCATGAGGGGACTCCACAAGATCGAGGGGGACATGGATGTGGCTGACAGGTTCGGAATGGGAATGTTCCTGGAAGTGGGAATGGTTTGGTGGGCCTGGAATTTCTGGGGAAGGGTTTGGGGAAATGAAACTGGATTTTTCATTGGAAGGATGGAGCAGCTCCATGAGGAAAGGCTGAGAGAGCTGGGAATGTTCCCCTGGAGAGGAGAAGGCTCCAGGGAGAGCTCAGAGCCCTGGCAGGGCCTGAAGGGGCTCCAGCAGAGCTGGAGAGGGACTGGGGACAAGGCATGGAGGGACAGGACACAGGGAATGGCTCCCACTGCCAGAGATGGATGGGAGATTGGGATGGAATTCCAGAGCAGCTGTGGCTGCCCCTGGATCCCTGGCAGTGCCCAAGGCCAGGTTGGATCACCCTGGGACAGTGGGAATTCCCTGCCCATGGAATGGATCATCCTTAGGATCCCTTCCAATCCAAGCCTTTTGTGCCAGTGGGCTCAGGGAATGTTGGGAATTCAGGAGTGCCACAATCTCCATCCTCCCACCTGTGCCCTGCTCCATAGGAATAAAATCGGGATCAGTGGAGCTGAGCAGTGTTGGCAGTGCCCATCCTTGCTGCCATTCCTGGGGAATCCAGAGCCGTGCTGGCTTCCTTTCCCGCCCTTTTGCCTTCCTGCCCTTTTGCCTTCCCGCCATTTTTCCCTCATGATTTTTCCCCGCCATCTTTGTTTCCCTCTGTTTTTTCCCCCCTCCTTTTTTCCTTTCCCACCCTCTTTCCTTCCTCCCCTTTTCCCCACAGCTTCCCTGGAAATCCTTTGCCTTGATTTTCTGGGATATCCCCAAGTCTTTAAAACAGTTTGGATTGAATGGGAAGGAAGCCAGAATTGGGAATTTTGGGCGAAATCATGGCAGGATTGGAATATCCAATATTCCAGCACCTGGGAAAAGCAGGAGTTGTCAGAAGTGGGAACAGCCAGGGCTCCTGGGAATGTTTGTGCCAAGTATTTCCTTATCTTGGAAGCCTCTGGATAAAATTCCAGCAGGAGTTGGGGGAATGCAGCTCTGGAGCACGAGGAGAGGAAAGGAATGGGAAAGGACTCGGAGTGTGGGAAGGGACTTGGAATGCCATGGATTCAAGGGTAGCTAAACATTACCCAGCTGGGAGCTGCAGCAGGAATTCCAGAGGGCTCTTCCCAGTTTTTATTGAATTTATAGAGCAGGGAATTCCTGGGAGTATCCCAAGGTTTTAATGGGCTTAAAACAGGGAATGAAAACAGAATTAAATTGGGATTTTAGGGATGGTTATTGTTGGTTTTCCTTTGAAAAAAAGGGGAATATTTTCCTTGCCCTCGGAGCAGGAGCTGAACCTGAACAATTCCAGCCCTGGCTCCCTTCCCTGTTTGCTGGGAATGTTTTCCTTAGGGAGCTGCCCCAACTGGAAAGGTGGGGTCTGGACACTGCTGGAAAGGTGGGGTCTGGACACTTCTGGGAATTTTTTGCTGTATTTTGGAGCCTCAAGCTGGAATTCTTAGTGTTTTATCTGGGAATTTGGGTGTTTTGCAAAGGAAATGGCTGAGAGGGTAAAGAAAAAGGAGCAGGAAAAGGCCTTGGTTGGGCAGGAATGGGAATATTGAGGAACAGACACATGGAAATGGGCCTGGAAAAATCCATTTCCATTCCTTCCCTCCCAGCTGGGATTCTGGGAGTTTTTCCAATGGATTATGAGGAGGAGGTGGGGTTTGAACTGCCTGGATCCTGGGAAATCGTGGATGGGTTTGAGGAGGGATTAAGGAATTTCCGTGTCTGTGGGGATTTTCTTGGAACTTCTGGAATATCTGGAGCTTTTCCCTCTCCCAACCGTTCCTTCCCTCTTTCCAGGCTGTTAACAGAGCTGGAATCTCCTTCCTGGTGGCCCTTCAGCACCAAACTCTGGAAAACCCCTCAGGAAGCGAAACCCAAGGAAACCCCCGCGGCTCCTGATCCCAAAAGCCAGGAAGGAATCCTGCTGCGAATCCCCGTGATTATCACCCACAGGACAGATTCCAACGCCAAACCCGGAAAACTCACGGTGCTTCCCTCCGGCCTGGAAATCGAGGATTGCAATTCCCAGCTCCTGCACCGCTTTGAATCCCGGGATGTGGACGACATCCGGGTGCACACTCCCTACGAGATCAGCGTCCGGCAGAGGTTCATCGGCAAACCCGACACTTCCTACCGGCTCCTGGCGGCGCGGATGCCGGAGGTCATTCCCATCCTGGAGATGCAGTTCAGCAAGAAAATCCAATTTTTGGAGGATGCTCTTGGATTTGCCGGAGCCAGGAAGTCCCCCCAGGCGGATTTGGGAACGTCCATCTGGCAGGCAGGTGGGTGCCAGGCGGTTCCAGGCTCCAGAGGTTTTTCCAAGCAGTATTCCAGAGGCCATGGTGAGCGAATCCATGATAAATCCAAGGAATAAACTTTAGGTGTCTTCAGAGCCTTTGGCACTGCTGCTGCTTTTGCTGGAGTTAATTCCCAGCTGGAAAGGAATATCCGATATTCAATAGCCAATAATTAACACCCAATAATTGCTATCCAATACCCAATAATTAATATCCAACAAATAATACCCAGTATTTAATATCCAGTATCCCATATCCAGTATTTAACATCCATGATTTCATATCTGGTATCCAGTATTTAATAATGGATGTTCCATGTTCTGTATCCAATGTTTAATATCCAGTATTTAATATCCAGTATCCAATAATTAATACCCAGTATTTGATATCCAATATCCCATATCTAGTAGTCAGTGTTCAATATCCAATAGCCAGTATCCCATATCCAATATCCCATGTCCAACATCTGATATTCAATATTCAGTATCCCATATCCATGATCCCATATCCAATATTTCATATCTGATATCCAGTATTTAATCATGGATGTTCCATGTTCTATATCCAGTGTTTAATATTCCATATCCAATATCCAGAGTTTAATATCCAATACCAAATAATTAATATCCAATAATTAATACCCAGTATTTGATATTCAGTATCCCATATCCAATATTTCCTATCTGGTATCAAGTATTTAATAATGGATATTCCATGTCCTATATCCGATGTTTAATATCCAATATTCCATATCCAATGTTTAATATCCAATATTCCAGATCCAATGTTTAATATCCAGTATTTAATCATGGCTATTCCATGTTCTATATTCAGTGCTTAATATCCAATATCCAGTGTTTAATATCCAATACCCAATAATTCATATCCAATAATTAATACCCAGTATTTAATATTCAATGTCCCAGATCCTGTAGTCAATATTCAATATCCAGTAGCCATTATCCCATATCCAATATTTCATATCTGATATCCAGTATTTAATCATGGATGTTCCATGTTCTATATCCAGTGTTTAATATTCCATATCCAATATCCAGAGTTTAATATCCAATACCAAATAATTAATATCCAATAATTAATACCCAGTATTTGATATCCAATATCCCATATCTAGTAGTCAGTATTTAATATCCAATAGCCAGTATCCCATATCCAATATTTCCTATCTGGTATCAAGTATTTAATAATGGATATTCCATGTCCTATATCCGATGTTTAATATTCCATATCCAATATCCAGGGTTTAATATCCAATACCCAATAATTCATATCCAATAATTAATACCCAGTATTTAATATTCAATGTCCCAGATCCTGTAGTCAATATTCAATATCCAGTAGCCATTATCCCATATCCAATATTTCATATCTGATATCCAGTATTTAATCATGGATGTTCCATGTTCTATATCCAGTGTTTAATATTCCATATCCAATATCCAGTGTTTAAAATCCAATACCCAGTAATTAATATCCCGTAATTAATACCCAATATTTAATATTCAAGGTCCCATATCCTGTAGTCAATATTCTTTAACCAGTAGCCATTATCCCATATCCAATGTGGAATATCCAATATTCCATAGCCAATGTTTAATATCCAGTATTTAATATCTCACATCCTATTTCCAATATCCCATATCCAATAATTAATATCCAATATCCCACATCCCATATCCAATATCCCATATCCAGTATCCCATGTCCAACATCCCATATCTAATATTTGTATTTATTTATTTTATATTTAATATTTTATCTCCAGTATCCCATATCCAATTTCCAATATCCACTATCTTATATCCAGTATTTATATTAAACCTTTAATTCCCTTAAATCCTGAATACTTTCCCCAAATATCCAGGAATCTTGAATTAGAACATGGGATAAACTTGATTTTCCCATATTAAATCCCCAGGATTTTGATATTAGGCAAGTCCAGGTGTGGGAATTCCAGAGATTTTGGAATGATTTTAAGAAAACTTTGGAGCCTGAAAATTCCCAACAAGAAAATTGACATTCCCTACTATTAATCCTAAAATTCCAGGATAGGTTTTTTTAGCCCAACCTTGGGAATTTTCAACAGTATGGAATTTATTCCTCCCAACATCTCTGAATTCTTTTTTTTCCTAATTTTTAATCCCAAAGGAGGGAAGAAAAGATGGATCCAGTGCCAAAACCAACTGGAAAATTGGGATAAATTCATAAGTCCACCAATTTCTGGTTGGAATTCCAGCAGGAAAGGGAATATCCTGGTTTTGAGGAATATTCTAGCTTGGAAAAGATGCTGGATTTTTAAGAAAGTGAGTTTTGGCCTCTGGAATTTCCTGTTATCCCAGAAAATTCCCAGTTCCTGATGGAATTCCAGGAAATAATTGGATCTCCAGCCCTTTTCCAGAGGTTTTCCCACTCTTTTCCAGCTGGATTTTGTTTTTCTTCCCTGGTTAATTTAGAAAACCTTGGGAAGCAGAGGGGAGCTGATGGAAATCCTGATTTTTCCAGGGTTTTTTGTGTTTTCCTTGGATTTGTCACTGTTCCCATTCCGTCACAAGGTGGCGCTCAAGGACTGTGTGGGATCCTTTGGGATTTTTCCATATAAAACTTACTTTTTTTCTTATTTTTTTTCTTATTTTTTCCCTTTTTCTCAAATCAGGAGGGAAAAAAAAATTAGTTTTTTCTGTTCCCCTCTCTGTTTTGCAGTAGCGAATTTATCCAAGGATTTTTGGGATAAATATCCCTGCAGGGCATGGAAATCTCTGGGAAAATTCTGGATTTTCCCTCAAAACTGCAACAATCCCACCTGGCTCTTCTGTTTTCACCAATCCTGCCTTCAGCTTATGCGTAAATTTATAAAAAATTCCAAAAAAGTCTATTTTGACTTAATTCTGTGTGGAAAAGGAATTTAGGGAATTAGTTTTATCCAATACCTACTAGCTATTTTTATTTTTTAAATATTACTATTTATTAATTTATTATTCTTATTCTTATTACTATTATTGGGAGAACATAATACTACTACTACTAATAATTTTAATAGTAGAAAAACAAAAATAATTTTCTGGAATTTTTTAGCTGCTTTACACTTTTTCCCAGCACTTTGTTTTGGGATAAACATTGAAATTTTGGAATAGCTTTGATCTAATTTTATGCCAAAAAAAAGTCTGAGAATTCCCATGAATCCCCACATTCCAAATGATCCTGTTTTCCAGAGGCTCCCTAAATAAGAAATGAAATTTAAAAAATAATTATTTAAAAAAGAAAACATAAAATGACATAAAATGAAAATTGAAATAAAAATAAAGATAAAATAACGAAACATAAATAAAATAAAATAAAATGAAAAAAAAATAAAGGAGAAAAATAAAGAGAAAATTTTTAAAAAAGGAGAAAAATAAAGAGAAATTGTAAGGAATACACTTTGAATATTGCCAGAAAACCAGAATTTAATGGGAAAAATTGGATCCTGATTCCTCCCAAATTCCCATGGAGCAAAGCACAGCCCAACCACGTTGATCCCAGAATTCCAGAACGATCCTTGAGAATTCCACGAGCAGCCATTCCCTTATTCCAAGCTACCCTTGGACATTCCCAGGGATTCCCCAGCTTCTCTGGGAATTCCTGAAGCTTCCCCTCCTTTCCAGGCAGGATTTTTTCCTTACTATGGAATTTCTCTGGCAGCCACGGGATTCCTGGGAGCCGCGGTGAATCCGGGATTGCCAGCGGGAAGCGCCGAAGGGACGGACAAGGAGCAGGTGCAGCTGCAGAAAGTATCCCAGGAGGAAGCCAAGGAGCTCCGACAGGTAAAAATGGGCATGGAATTTCACAGAATTCCCAGAATGACCAGGTTGGAAGAGACCTTCAAGATCATGGAGTCCAACCCAGCCCCAGCACCTCAACTCAACCCTGGCACCCAGTGCCACATCCAGGCTTTGTTAAACACACCCAGGGATGGTTATTGTGTTATTTATGTTATTTTTTAAATATAATTTCTTTTAATTTTTTTATTTTATTAGTTTTAAATTGTATTTATTTGATTTAAATTTATTTTAGCCTATTTTATTTTTTGTTATTATTATTTTTTAATTTAATTTTTTATTTTATTTTTTTCTTTTACATTTAATTTATTTGATTTTATTTTTTTCTAATGGGAAAAATATCCTACCAGAGGGCAGGGCTGGATGGGATATTGGGAAGGAATTCCTGGCTGGGAGGGTGGGCAGGGGCAGGGATGGAATTCCCAGAGCAGCTGTGGCTGCCCCTGGATCCCTGGAAGTGTCCAACGCCAGGTTGGACACTGGGGCTTGGATCACCGTGGGATGGTGGGACGTGTCCCTGGGTGATCCTTAAAGTCCCTTCCCACCCAAATTCGGGGATGTCAGTCCATGAATAATCCCATTTTTCCACAGCCCTAACCATGAGCTCTCCGTGTTGCTCTCTGGCAGATCCTGAAGAAGCTCAAGGGCCTGGCCCTGGAGACGGAAGCGGAGCTGGAGAGGCAGGACGAGGCCCTGGATTCCATCGGCAGCGCCGTGGATCGCGCCACGCTCAACATCGATCGGCAGAACCGCAGGATGAGGAAGCTGACGTAACTTCTCGGCGGGAACGGGAATGCCGGAAAGAGCAGCAGGGTGGGGGAGCCGGGATTTTCAGGACTGGTTTTTCCACAGACACTTTGGGAGGGGTTTGGGATGAGGTTTGGAAAATGGCTCTGCTGGGGGTGAGTTCCTGAGAGGATTGAAGGGGTTCCTGGATCTTGGATGAGGTTTGGATCTTGGACAGTATTTGGACCTTGGATGATGGTTAGATCTTGGATCGTGATTGGATCTTGGATCGTGATTGCATCTTGGATGGTTGGACCTTGGATGAGGTTTGCATGTTGGATGGTGGTTGGATCTTGGATGAGGTTTGGACCTTGGATCACAGTTGGACCTTGGATGAGGTTTGGATCTCGGACAGTGTTTGGATTTTGGATGATGTTTGGATCTTGGATGAGGTTTGGACCTTGGATCACGGTTGGACCTTGGACAGTGTTTGGATTTTGGATGATGTTTGGATCTTGGATGGCAGCTGGATCTTGGATGAAGTTTGGATGTTGGATGATGGTTGGATCTTGGATCACATTTGGATCTTGGGTGAGGGTTGGATCTTGGATCATAGTTGGATCATGCATGATGGTTGGATCTTAGATGAGGGTTATACCTTGGGTAATGTTTGGATCTTGGATGAGCTTTGCATGCTGGACGATGGTTGGATCTTGGACAGTGGTTGGATCTTTGATAATGATTGGATCTTAGATGAGGTTTGGATCTTGGACAGTGTTTGGACCTTGGACAGTGTTTGGATTTTGGATGATGTTTGGATCTTGGATGGCAGCTGGATGTTTTTTTGATCTGGGATGGCAGTTGGATCTTGGATGAGGTTTGGATCTTGGATGATGTTTGGATCTTGGATGGCAGCTGGATCTTGGATGAGGTTTGGATGTTGAATGATGGTTGGATCTTGGATCACGTTTGGATCTTAGATGTGGGTTGGATCTTGGTCGGATCTTGGACAGTGTTTGGATTTTGGATGATGGTTGGATCTCGGATCACACTTGGACCTTGGATGAGGTTTGGAAGATTTTTTTTGGGTGGAAAGATCCGTGTTTCCAGTTGGGATGAAACAGACCTCGTGGATTCTCCACTGCCAAACCCTGTAAATAGGAAGGGATGTGACAAACCTGACTTAATTAATTAATTAATTAACGTGCTTTTTCATTTTGCTGCTTTCCAGCCAATGAATTCCCTCTCCATCTCTTTCCCTAAAATCCTTAGGAGCTGATCCTGGTTTTTTATTTATTTGCACTCAGTGGTGATGAAACATTTCAAGGCTTTCCCAGAATTCCTAAAAAAAAAAAGGGAATATTTTCAATTAAAGTCTGAAGTTTACACTTGGCTCTGTTGAGAGCCCTCCTAAATTATTGATATTCCATAGGAAAAATTCCCATTTCATCAATCCTTACCTTTTCCAGCTATTTTACCTCCAAGGAGCTGTTGTTAAATATTTTTTAAATTATTTTTTACGTTTTAATTTAAGTATTTTTGGTGTCGTTTTCAAATCCGACACTTTCAGTGCAATATTTTTAAACAGTGAAGCTTCAAATCCTTGGATTCCGTGGGAATTTTTTCCATTTTTTTGGAATCCAGCCTAATTTTGGGAGAAAAAGACACCGAGCCATGTCAAGGGTGTTGTTTGCAAGGTTTGTATTTCTTCAGCTTAGTTAGGACTGGAGTAAAATTTATTCCAAGTTTTTCCTGGCATGCACTTTATTGGAAAATCCGGTGATAATTCCGTATCCATCAATTATTTCCTGGGAATAAAATCCTCTTGGAGTTTCTCCTGTTGTTTCCCGCCCCCAAACTGCTGCTGGTTTACCGTGAGAGGAAAAGGAAGGTCCTGCACCTCATTTTTCCATGGATTTCCAAGTGGATTTCACATCAAATCCGTGTTTGGTGAAGCTGGGATGGGATCTGGGAATTCCCAGAATTCCCAAAAGGAAATCTTTTGGATTTGAGGGGTTTTGGGTGTTCTTTGTGCCATATTTTTTATTGTCATGGGGTTTTAGCACCGACTCCATATTTTGTGGGTTGTGTTGAGTCCAACATATCCCAAAAAACTTGGAATATTCCTTGGGAAACCCATCCTGGAGCTGTACATTGGCTGAATTCCATGTGCCAGAAGGATTTTCCACCTGTAATTCCTTCTTATTAAATCTCTTGGAATTGTGATTTTCTCTCCTGTCTTCACTTGGCTGGGAATTTGTGGGAAAAATCCATCCCTGTTTTCTTGTGGAATGGGATTTCATGGATTCTGTGGGGTTGGGTTTTAGGATGGCTTTATTTGGGATTAAAAATATGGAAAATATTCCCTGCTGGAAGGTGGCCCTGGGTGAGCTTTAAGCTTCCAACCCAAACCATTCTGGAATTCCATGATCTTCAGCGAATTTGGGAAGAGTGGCTGATATTCAAATCCTGGAAAAATGGGCTGGTGGGATCCTCATGGATTTAACAACAAGAAATCCTTCCCTGGGGAGGAACAATTCCAGGAATTGGGATGTGCTGGGAACACCCAGCTGGAAAACAGGAGCTGGAGTTGCTGCTGGATGGAATTCCCAAATGGATTGGGTCGGAAAGGAATTTTTAGGATCATCCAGCCCCATCCCCAGGGACACTTTCCACTATCCCAGGTTGCTCCAAGCCCTTTTTTCCATGAGAGGTGAGTTGGAATGGCATGATCCTTAAGGTCCCTTCCATCCCAAACCATTCTGGAATTTTCTGGGATTCTTTGTGCCGTATTTTTGACCCTTTTTGTGGGCTGTAGATCCCGAGCTCTGTGGAATCCCACACCAGCTTGAAATTCCATAGGGGTATCCCAAAATTTGAAGGATTGAGGGATTCCAAATGGGAATTCCGTGTCTCAGGTGCCAAATGTGGGAACAGGACCCAAAATGGAGATTCCAGAGACCTCAGACACGACTCCCTCTGGAACAACCTCCAAATTCTCCATGGATCATCAGAGGAGATTCCTGGATTTGGGAATTCTTCCTTACCCACATCCTCTCCAGAGCCTTTCCAGCTCCCGGAGGCGAGTCGAGCTTGGAAAACACATCCCAAACCCATCCCAAAAAGAGAGGAAACATCTTGGGAGCCGCCCCTGTCGTATCCCAGAGAGTGAAATTCTCGATCCCGATGCCAGCCGCTCTCCGTGTCCTTAGGGCTGCCTGGTTTTCCACACTTTTTTTTTTTTATGGATTGCTGCTTCCAAGCACAGCAAATTCCCAGAGTGAGAAAAATCCCGTTCCGGTTTGGGTTTGGCTCCTCTCGGGCGGTTTGGCCTCGTTTTTGTGCTTTATTACAGCAAATGCCCACGGGATGTTTTTTGGGAGAGCCATTAGGGAAAGGAGGTGGGATGGAGGGATGAATGGGGGCCAGGGGGAGAAAAAAAGGGAAAAACTCCTGAAATGCATCTTTTTCCATCTTTCCATAAAAAAAAGGGAAAACTTGAGCTCATAAACACCCCTGGAGAACGGGGTGAGATTTTTCCCCCCTCTCTTCTTGGTTGTAACCACGGTTGGGGTTTGGTTTTTTTTAGATCCATGGAAATCATGGAAAAAAATCATTGTATTCCAATTTACAAGGAAATGCCTTGGGCCAAATTCCTTCAAAAAAATTAAAGAAGAGAAGAAAAGGAAGGCTGGTGGGAATTGTGGATGGATAAGGCTGGATCAGCTGGATGGGCGAGGTGGGAATGGGAGCATGGATTTGGAATTCAGATGTTCTCCTGTTTGTGGGGTAAGAGAATTCCAGGACGGATTGGGTGGGAAGGGACCTGAAGGATGATCCCATCCCATTCCATGTGCAGGGACACCTCCCGCTGTCCCAGGTGCTCCAACCTGGCCTTGGGCACTTCCAGGGATCCAGGGGCAGCCACAGCTGCTCTGGGAATTCCATCCCAGCCAGGAATTCCCAATTCCCAATCTCCCACCCATCCCTGCCCTCTGGCAGTGGGAGCCATTCCCTGTGTCCTGTCCCTCCATGCCTTGTCCCCAGTCCCTCTCCAGCTCTCCTGGAGCCCCTTCAGGCCCTGCCAGGGCTCTGAGCTCTCCCTGAGCTTCTCCTCTCCAGGGGAACATTCCCAGCTCTCCCAGCCTGGCTCCAGCCCTCTGTGAGATGGATCCCACCAGGGACATCCCACCTGTGATCCCAAGGCCAGGCTGGACAGGGCTTGGAGCAGCCTGGGACAGTGGGAAGTGTCCCTGCCATGGCAGGGGTGGCACTGGATGATCCTCAAGGTCCCTTCCAACCCAAACCATCCCGGGATTCCATCATTCCATGATTGGGAGCTTTTTTGTCTGCTCCACAAAATCTTCAGTAATCCCATTTTATAAACTGGGAAGGCTTTTTGGGAAGTCCCGTGTCCCTAAAGTCTGTCCTGAGGAAAAATATTTTGTTGGAAAGCGGAGCAGCTCTGAAATGGGTTAATTTCTGTCATTTTTGGTGGTTTTGATGATTTGTGTTAACTGTGTTAATGTGAGGGATCGATTTTAGGCTTCATCCAAACTCTGGATAAACAGCTCCAGTTCCAGAGAGTCACAATTCCAAATTCCCTCTTTTCTGGAGCCACCTGGATGTGCCAGTTTTGCTGGTTTTGTGTTTTGTGGTCCCAAAAGCTGGGAACTTCAAAGGAAGGGGGAGATTTGGGTGGTGGAGGAGCCATTTCCCCTCATGGCTCCGTCTTGGAATCTGGATGGAACATTCCTGGAGCTATGGAAGTGCCGGGATCACCTCCCCAACAATCCCAAACCACCCTTGAGACTCCTGAAGTCCAGGCTGTAGGAATCAGGATGGAAAACCCAAATGCAAGGGCAGGACTTGGACTTCCATGATCCTGGTTGGTCCCTTCCGATTCAAATTCCAGGATTTTATGATGAGATTGCCTGAGGGATGGAGAAAATGAGGGAACAGGGCTGAAACTCTTCTGGGATTTTTTTTTTTTTATTGAGGTCTGGATCAACTTTTCCAGCTGATTTTTTGGTGCCATTTGTCAGCTGGATCGGGGACCAACCTGTTCCCAAGTTTCAGAATTCATCTGGCATCTCCTGGGACAAATCTGGAAATCCCCAGCTGGATAAAAACTTCTCATTTTAGGTTTTCAGGGCTGGTGCCTCTGGAAAACCTGGAAAACCTCGCTTCTGGCATGATAAAATTTGGAATTTTTGGTGGCTTTGTCAGCTGGATCAGGGACCAACCTGTTCCCAAGGCTTGGAATGGCTGTGGCATTTCCTGAGACAAATCTGGGACTCTCCAACTTCACCACTGGATAAAACTTGTCAGTTTTGGTTTTCTGGGCTGTTGCCTTTGGAAAACATGGAAAACTTCCAACATTTGGATTTTTTGTGGCCTTGTCAGCTGGATCAGGGACCAACCTGTTCCTGATGTTTGGAATTCCTGTGGCATCTCCTGCCACACCCAGGACTCTCCAACACAG